GTCCAAGGAATAGCCAGGGTCTTGCATGGTTGGACCTACTTGACCTGGGCATATGCATGACTGGTCGCTCCATAACTGATATCTAGCCAACATTGAAAGGAGGGGCATTATGTCCTTAATTACTTGCCTAGGCTGCAGAAAGGACTGAAAATCCTCATCTTTTTTAACTTGGAAGTGTAATCACCTATAGCCATGACACAACTAGAGAGAGGACTTGGGCAAGCCCTCGATACGCCTTAGTACGTGGAAGTCCATTTAACCATGACTTGAGATCCATAGAACACATGCCCATTGACTCACGCGGTGGACCGTTGAGGGACCAGGAGTCCAGCCCGTGAGCTGTTCGTGCCTATGTGTGCACAACGAGTCCCCCGATCACTTCCACTCTCCCAGAGGCCTCTAAACATTCGAAAAACCTTAGTAAAACACAAATGGGGATGGAAAAACTACTAGAAAATACAATTTTTGTGTTTTCACGCACTAACTACACCAGTTATCAGATCTGAAGGCAGTTCTACCATGACGGCTCTGAAACCAATGTAGGGATTTCAACATGAATCTCGAAAGCAACGGAAACACAAAGACAAACAGATCAGATAGAAATCACATATCTTTTCCCAGATCCAATTCTTCCCGTGTAGTTGATGTGATCCTTCTGTTCTTTTATGTGCGTGTCTCCTTCAGTTCGAGAGTTCGATGCTCCCATCCCTAGGCCAACTACTGATTACTTGGAACTGGAAGTGTGGTATACACAGCCAAATCCAGATCTTTTGATGGAAGGCCCGAGAGCTCTTGAATCAACTATGGGTTTTTTGAGGTAGTATCAAAGGAATCACACAAGGTATGTAAAATAAAAAAATTAAAAACACCTTCCATAATCTTTTGATTTCACCTTGGGAAAACCCCCACTTATTACAAACTTATAAGAACAAAAATTATAATAGTCTTCAACAACAACAATACCCTTACATTTGAGCATAGCTCTTTACAATTCAATTGAAATAAAATACATCAAACAAAGACTAAAGAAGAAATGTGCATGAACTTAATGTATCTGATGGGAAGCCGACTTTCAAAATAAGCACCGTGCGAAAACCACAACAGTTTGATCACAATCCTCACTATCACTCTCCACTGATAGCACAAGAAGGGTGTGGTTTGAATCTAATCTTAGGAAGCAACTCTCTCACCACCACATCACAAGAACCTTGATCTTATAAATAGTTCAAAATACTTATCAAATTGGATATAGGACCATACGAGTCAAAGGTGAAGGAATCAGACCCAAAACGAGCTCGAAATGGAATAGTTTTGGCTCTAGGGTTTGATTCAAATGTCTAAACAACTATGGGGTCAAAAGGGCTAAGCTTGGTGCATGGTGCTAAGTGAGAGCTCACTGTTATGCTTCATATGATTGCATTTCCAGCAACATTGAAGTCACAATAGTTTGCATTAAATGAGTTTAAAACTACCACAACAAAACACACAAGAGCAACGGCTATTTATCTCTAATACTTAAGCACCTGAAGTATAAACTATGAGTGAATATTGCTTACTGTTATCATGAATTCCAGCAGCCATAACTTCATACATGTGATGAGGCGATAAAGATCATACCTTCATCATGGGTGAAAGGCTTGCAATTATGAAGGAGGTAGGTAACTCAATTTATGATCTTTGAGATGGAAGAATGAAGAGAGCTATGAGTGGGGCGTGAGGCTTTTGAGGAGAAGAGATGGTGAGTTTAAAGTGAAAACAACAAACTGTGAATGAAGTGGGAAGATGTTCTATTTATAGAATTCTCATGTGAGGTATAAGCTTTATATTAGATCTCAACCACCCATAGAGTGATCCAAGGGTTGAGAGAGGCTCAAGACGTAACCTATTCAATCACCATTGATGGCTATCACATGGATGGTGATGATTGACTGCACCCTTATCACCATGCCCACATAACACCTTCAAAATTTCAATAATATGTAATTTTCAAAATCAATTCATTTCAACCGTAGATTTCTAAATCTACAAATTATCACCTTTAATTTAATGTCATCTTTATAAAGCCCTAATGATCCCTTATCACCATGCCCACATAACACCTTCAAAATTTCAATAATATCTCAAGTGCCCTTAAACCTTAATTTTCAAAATCAATTCATCTCAACCATAGATTTCTAAATCAAAAAATTGTCACCTTTAATTTAATGTCATCTTTATAAAAACCTAATGAGGGTGGCATGCCACCCTTTGCTAGCATAGGTGTTAAGGCTTGTGTTTTACACAAGCTAATGCAATGTTACTTTCAAAGAGATGTGTCTCCTTTATCCTCTTCACACCAATCTTATTCTTTTATTTCAAATATCTGATAGATGTCAAATCACAAAATTAGGAGGTTAATCAATTTATAAATTTGTTAAATCTCTACACTCCCACATGTGAACATAGGGTTAGGGTTTCCACGTCATGCCCTTTGGGCAATGACGTGGTTGTCCTATGGGATGCACGTGTGGCACACATTGGCTTTTTGTGTGCCACACGCCACATGCGTGGACATCCTTAATTGGAATTAGCACACAACAATTTTGACAAAAGCATTTTTTCTTGGAAATAAAATTTTCAAAAATTATCTAAAATCATGATAAATCATTTTGGATCATTTCTTATAAACAAATCACAGTCTGGCATTTATCATAAATCCGGTGAGGAAAACACGGGTTCCACTGGAGGTCGGGCTATATGGTACTCCACTGAGCTAAACCCAATCTAATTTCTCAGACCAACCGAATAGCCCCGTATGAGTCACAGACTACAATCTGGACATGAGTGGACCTATCAAAGTTAACCGATTAGTTGGATGGACTCCAGGGTGTTCAGTGGATTACAGGTGCCCCCCAAGGACTTGCATTCTTGTGGATGCGAGGTCCTCTCTCATCATGCGTGCACAGTTCTGATAGCTAAATCTTACCTCTTCAGAACGGCTTCCCAAAATGCAACTGTCTGCTCACACATTGTGAGCAAGCTACATATGTCAAGGATTTGGGTTTATGTCCTCTTACAGCCAGTTATGCTCACACAAGGCTTATACACAATATATCTCAAACAAGCTGGGATCCATTGATCCCTAAGCCCTAGCTCACACGACATGAGACAAACCCAAACTACCGACCTTGACTAGAGGAAAAACCCTAAAACCTCTTGGTTCACAAAATTGTCTGAGAACCTTGCCTCAGTCAAATAAGGTTATTTTGGCCAATCCAGATCCCAATACACAAAGACTTCGGTAGCTACAATGTTCCTGGTCACTCCTACTGTGACTCTAAACAATGTTGGCATTGCACACAAGGCCTTAAAAGGCCATATATCCAACATTTTTATTGTTGTTGTGTTTCTAGAGCGAGAAAACTGGGAGAGGAGGGGGAGGCTTTCAGGTGTAGAGAGAAACTATTTGGAGAGGTACGACCGTCCCCAAGTGAAATCTCTATTTTTCTCTTTCTTTAATAGTTTTATGTACAAAATATACCCTGAAAGAATCGTTAAGATGCTGACAACTGTAACAGATCGTCCCAAGTTCAGATCCTACCACTCTAATACCCAAAAAAAGAGAGGCCTTCATTTCTTGTGGTTAGGAGATTTCCATGTCTCTACAAATGGGCATCACAAATGAGCATCTCTGCCATTCTTGTCTGTTAGTCTAGTAGCTCTGACAAATTCTATCCCACCTTATCTTTCACATTAACTCCACCAACTCGTGCTTAAGATGTATCTGTTACTTTGGTTCTTTTCGTTGAATACCTGGTTGTTTGTGCATTCATTTTCTAAGGATGTAAAATGTTATATATTGCCAGAAGACTGATGTTGTGTCGCTTGGTTTCTGCTTGTTTGATAGTTAGACATCCTTTGTATTATTGTTCCTTATAGAAAGCTCAAATTCAGTTTATGAGTGTCTTTCTCACTGATTGATAACATTTCCATGGTTGATTGTGCATTGGCTGATGCCATTTTGGACATTGCAAGCTATTGACTTGTGTTAACGACTGGTCCTGGCCTTGAGAGTGGATCCAAATTGACATATGCTTCTTGCAAGTAGGTGATTGAAGTTAATAAATTCCCGGTTGCTGGATAGAATTTAAAATCATTTCGCATGCTGTGCTATAAATGCTTATTTATTCTTCGAAATGTTAGAATTGAAGAAAACTGACAGGTACTATTATTGGGTATATGCTTCACCTCATTAACCTCATGGATTCCTTGTTATGCATTGCTTTCTTAATCTTGTGCTTTAAGCAAAAGCATGCAATCTCATGCGAGAGAAATGCAAATTTAAGCCTGAAGTAGAAAACACAAAGGCACCTCTCAAAAAAAAAAAAAAAGTAGAAAGCACAGGCAATGTCTGATAAATTATCACTATTTGAGATTGTTTTTTCAATGCATGCTGTTTTAAACATCACACATACTCCAGACAGTTAAAATCTATTTAAATATAAGTAGGGACACGTTGGCCATTTCTGAAGTTGTTAAAAGCACTAGCAGTATCGACCTATTAACCTAGAAAAGGGAGTTGGGGAACAATATGTTCCCATTTCGAGTTACTCATTTACACAAGGGGTACAAAAATTTCTTCACAAGAAAAATGCTTTTTTATTAGTACATTGAAAGATGATAGTTGCCACGCTTAATGAAAGCTGACTGACATTTCCCTAGCATTTGGAAACATGTGGAAAGTTCGAATCTTGTGGCATCCTTAGATTTTCTAAAGCAGTAACAGAAGTCACATCCAAAATGTGGTAAACCTGTACATGACACATCCTAGAGAAGGCTTGTTATGAGTTTTCTTATGGGTGTTCACAGATTTAGTTCGTGAGTCTCGTTCTAAACAAGTAAATGGAATTTCTTACCACATTGTTGTATGGGTATCTTGATTCATTTTCTCATAAAGAGTTTTTGTTGGTATTTTTTAACCCCAGATTCTTTCACTCTGAATAAAATGATTCATTTTGCAGGAGGAAGACTCTACGTACGACAGCAATTTGAGCAAAAGAAAATTAGAGACCTTGATGCCCAACTTGAAAGCACTTGTATCCCAAGCCCACTCGTGAAATTTTGGTGTAAAGTTTTATTCCTACAAAGTGAGATTTCATGTTCTTCCATCATAACAGTTTACGTTCAGGCAGATGCAAACTGCAAATCTCAAGTATTCTATACAGCCAGTTTTCCATGAATGAACCCATCATCCCAAGCGGCATTTTTGTTAGGATAGTAGACTGTCTATTGATTCATCAGAGATTTAGGACTAACCATCATCCATTTTGGGATTTTGGGGCCATGAAGACATTGCTTGCTTCAAATTAGGGCATTACATAATAGTTGCGAGATTGCCAGCATGGTATTAAATATAAAACTTTGGAAAATTGTCTACTTTTATTTTTATTTATTTCATTTTTTAATGTTAACTTGGAACTTGGTAGGAATGAAACTTTAGATATCATGTTGTGGCGCTAGCCACGCCAACCAAAAGCTCATTCTCTGCACTTGTCATCTAATGGATAACGCATCTAAATATGGGTGACAGCCTTAATAAAACATTGAATACAAATGCTTTTCAGTTCTAATTATTCTGTTTACCATATTGCGGATTGATTTGTGGCCATCACTCGCAGAAATGTCCAAAGGACTCCATTTTGTGCATTTGTTAATATGAGAATTCGATTGGCAAATGACTTTTTTTGTGGGTAGTTGAGTGGCAAAGAACTCAAAATCTTAAGTTTTCGTACCTTGCTACCCTGACTACTTAGTAGTGTGCCCATACTTTGCAAATAACTTTGCTATTAGTCCCAAAGCCACAAGGGAAAAGTCGAAACAAAAACCAAGAACATGAGCGGGTTTTTAAGCAGTTCCAAGTTGAGAAACTTTGATAATATGCCAAGCAGAAGATATGAACAAGTTGTGAAAAACGTGACTTGACTGTGGGAAGAAAGGAGATAGCCATCGATATCAATTTCAAATTTTATATTGATTCCTATTTTTTTAAGTAGAACGCCCAGATCAGTCATCGATGAAGGAGGGGCATTTTTTAAAACTTCGTTTTTCTCTCTCTTTTTTTGACAAATGTTACTAGCTTTGATTATAAAGGTGCTTTAAAAGCTAAGATTGCAATGGTGAAATCAAAGAGCTAAAGACTTGTAGAGGGAAATTACATTCTTAGCGAGGCTATCCGATATGTTTATAACATGTTATCTGGATCATTCATTATCAAGATTTTAAAGTGTTTATAGATATATATGATTGTCACTATTTTTGGAACTTTAAATTTCATAATTAAGAGAAACAATAGATTGTTCATATCATTGCAAGGTTTTGGGGCACCAACAATGTATTTTCAGCATAGTTTTGAGGTACACTTTACTTCAATAATAGAGTTGACACCTTATACAAACCTCTCTATAAAATCTTCTATAAAATCTTAAACATGATGAACGATTATTGGCATTCATCAACACATTGAGTGCTTTATAAAACTTGAAATCCCCTATTTTTCATGTCTATGAATGCCGATGTTGAGATGTCTGAAGAACAACCTTCTCTGGTGGGTTTTTTTAGGTGCACGTTACTTTTTCCAGGTTAGCACCTTGTACAAACTTTTTCCATATTTTTATGGTATGTAACGTAGAAGCTCCACAATATAGTCAAATGGGCTTTTGGTTAGCTTCTGGCTAAAAGCATGTAAGCCTTCCCATGAATCTGTATTTTAAAACCATGATTAAAAAAGTTCGCGCGCTTTATTACTTTTTCTATTTTGAACATATTTTATATGACACATTTATGAAACAAACAGAATCTGTATTTTAAAACCATGTTTAAAAAAGTTCGCGCGCTTTATTACTTTTTCTATTTTGAACATATTTTATTTGACACATTTACGAAACAAACAGAATCTGAATATTCAAATTTTTTTTAAATATGCATTACTCATTTTTCATATATTTGAATTATATATTATTGTGATATATATTTTAGGAAAGGTTTCTATGCTTCCTTTACAACATAGAAGTTCTATCCTCTTCTTACCATCCAGCCATCCAATTTTGACCAAGAGAGCCACTCACCGTTTGATCTTAAATGTGACGTCTCAAATTGTTTTATTTTTAGGTTTTTTATACAAATTGTATGAATATGAAATTTGATACATGCCATCTTCTCATTGGGGCGCACCTATAAAAACTATTAAAAATAATATTTCGATAAAATATAATAACCAAAATACCCCTTGGAACATTCAGGGGTATTTTGATCATTTATTTTATTGAAAATATTTTTTTTATATATTTTTCACTAGTATGAGTTTAATAGAGGAATGGACATCCAAAATTTGGTGTCAAAATAGTTTATAGAAAAAAATTAAAATTAAAATAATGTAGACATGACATTATGATTGGGACAATCTTAGCCCTCCATTCAAAATGAACGGTAGCCGTTGGATAAAGGGGAGGATGATTGGGACAGTCTTAGCCCTCCATTCAGAATGAACGGTTGGATAAAGGAGAGGATAGAACTCCTATGTTGTAGGAGAAGCACAAAAAAAACTTCCCCATATATTTTTAGGGAAAGCTTTCTATGTTTCCCTACAACATAGAAGTTTTATGTTCCCTTACCATCCAGCTGTCTATTTTTTATCAAGAGTCACTATACCGTTTGATCTTAGATCAGACATTTCAAAGTATTTTATTTTCAATTTTTTTAATACAATTTTTTTGAGTATGAAATTTAGTATGTGCCATCTTCTCATTGGGGCGTACCTATAAATAATATTAGCAATAATTTTTCTATAACAAATAAATGACCAAAATACCCCTCGAGTCTTTCAAGGGTATTTTGGTCATTTTATTTATTGAAAATATTTTTTTTATATTTTTCGTTAGTATGAGTTAGTTTAATATAAGAATGGACGTCCAAAATTTAGTGTCAAAACAATTTATAGAAAAAAATTACAAATAAAACAATATAGAGATATGACATTGTAATTAGAGACGTGACATTGTAATTGGGGCAATCTTAGGCCTCCATTCAAAAATGGAAGGTTGGATAAGGGGTACATAAAACTTCTATGTTGTTGGGAGAACATAGAAAGCTTTTCCATATTTTTATGCATGTTTACTTAAAACCCATGGTCTTACAATTTCTCGAGATTTCTCTAGGTGAAACAAAGGGTTTTGAAAAGAATAATTCAAAGGCTCTACCTCCGTCGCCCATTCATCATATCACATCTAGTCACACAGGCTTTCAGTCATCTCTCTCTCTCCCAGTGAACACTTGGCTGTGTATGCTTGACTATAGCGAAGGTAAAGATAGAGATCGATCTCCATTGCCCACTAATCTTTCATTTAGCAAAGCCTATGCTTGTGGAGGAGGACTGAAACCATCACCTAATTTACCTTCATATTAAACTAAATATCAAAACACTAACCCAAAGAAATTTGATGAAAACCACAGTAAAAAAAAACCCAAAGAAAATGGGGTAAAAAAAGTACACAAACCCGAAGAAGATGTAAACAAAAAGCCAATACAAAGTAAAACACAAAAAATAAATCAAGAATAAAAAAAAAGTAAATAAAAAACCCAAAGAAGCTTGGATAAAAACAGTAAACAAGTTAAATAAAAACCAAACATTCTCCATTTTTCATTAAACAAAAAGTCTACAATTAATCTTGATATCGATCATATATCGAGATATCGAAAACACCCCTTTCTTGACAAAATATGGTGGATAATGGCGATGCCAAACAATAGCAACGGGAAAGCACACAGTGAAAACACTTTATGGAGACCATCACAGTTCCTTCCACCTTCAACTGTAGTTTCTCAAGAGAAAAAATGGTCCGAAAAAAATTAGAAGAGGAGGATGTGAAATTTGATTGTATATTTGATCATCAAATATGAGGCCCTTAGAAGAGCCAACTTGGAATCAGCAGTTCATAAAGAACTCAAGCAATAACATCGACCAAAAGGAAAATATGTTTCTATGTAATTCAGTTTTGAGTTCTTTTTTTTTTTGAAACTGATTTCCGATGAGGTTTTTGGTGGGTTCACGCCATTGCTCTCTTCTGTATGGACACAGGACAAATCGAAGCCCTTGGTATATCAAAAGGTGACCCGAGACCATGTTGGCGTCTGCCCCTCTCTCTCTAGAACCTTCCTGTGATGCTTTCAAATACAGGGGTCTCTCTCGGCATTGTTTTTATTGGGGACTCCCTCTCTATATATCTCAGTTTCTTGGAGCTCTCTCAGTTTCTTGGAGCTCTCTCTCTCTCGTTTTGCTCGGAGTAGCTCTCTCCCCCCTTGTTATTCTTGAGGAGTTGCTCTCTCTCTCTCGCTCTACTTTTTCTTGGGTGAGTAGCAAGAGGACATAGAACGTCCCACCACCTCTCTCTCTAAATTAGAAAACCACATGAATCCAAGAAAAACACCATCTCAAATATACCTCTTTCTGCTCCTCCATTCCCGACAGATCAACCCACATTCCGCCACCAAATCGGGAACTTCTCTAGCGACTTGTTTGGACTTCGACTGCTGACGTGTACATCCACCCATCCCCGACTCAATTGATCCGCGCCTCCGTCAGGTGAGATGTGATCGAGGAAAAAGCGCCCTGAATTCTTTGAGCGTGATTCGGCCAGAAAAGTGAAGATTTCGTCACTTAAGCCAGAGCTCTGGTGTACCAGACGGTTGCCCCTGACGACCTCCATGTTATCAGTGAACTGCCATGTGCCAGTTTCAGGAGGCGTCACATCGGCCACAATGAGGCCGGGTCATCTTCAACCTCGAAGAAGGCTAGAGCAAGAGAGCTTGGATTTTAATGGGTTTAGAGTCTGAACCCTTAGATTCTCCTACAACTCGAACCTTCGCCGTTTGTCTCTGTTGGGTTCACGTTTTCTCTCTTGCTAACCCTTCCTCTTACTTTCTTCAAGAGTTGGGAAGAGGTAGAGAGAGGATGAGAATGGTTAGAGAGAGAGAGATGAATCTCGGTGAACCCATAATCCTGCATGCCCAAATAATCAAGAACTGCTCCCTGCTACATATGGTATAGAGTACCAAGTTGATCCATATGATCAAGATCCTGAGGAGCTTTGCATGTGGATTATTCAACTGAACCAGGCAGTCGCGCTCCACGCGGGTTCCACTTGGTGATCCTGCGTCTTCCCCATCCATCATCCACATCAAACATGTCGTCCACTTGGAACACATCTGTCCGTTGATCCAAATTCTCTTCAGAGGAACTTTGCAAGGAGATGTGGAGAGATTTTGACGCTGCTGCAACGATTTGAAAGGCAAATTTTTGGAAGGCAAATTTTTTGGAAATACCAAGATCAATTTTATATTGAAGAGGTGACCTGATGGTCGATTTTTGTCGCTGTGATATCATGTTATAATTTGTGGAAATATAGAAGGGAGAGAGAATATTTATGTGGTTCAAAATTTGCGAGAACATAGAAAGGAGAGAGAGTAAAAACATAAAAGGG